TGTTCTTGTTGAGCAACTGCTATGCCTGCTTGGGCTAGTTCTACGGCTTGTTGTAGCTTAACCGCGATCTCTACTGCCTTTTGCTTATCTAAAAGCTGCTTAGCTAGTTTTTACTGTTGCCTTTTATTGTCTAGCTCTAGCTACAGCGGCTCTACTTCGTGCCTATGCTATAAGAAGAATGGTGACATTCTAGTTAACGTTGCGTTTCTACCATTGATCGCGATCTGGGCCATTAGGCAGAGCTGTGCCTAGTTATTCTAAGCCTAGTTCGTGAACGTTTGGATGTAGGTCTCCTAGACGCTGTTCATCCTTTCTGTTGCACCGTCCGTCTGTGGGTGGTAGGCTGTCGACAGTCTCCGTTTGATCTTCAGAAGCTCGCATAGTCTTGTCTATAGTGCACTCACAAACTAGCTGCCTCTATTAGAGGTAATAGCGTCTAGTAGCCAGTGATATGCGACTACACGTTTAATGAATTTTCGAACGACGGTTTCTGTCTTTGTATCTAGGAGCGGTACGAAAATCGCACCCTTACTAAGCCGATTAGTGATTACTATCAAGCTAGTCATGCCCTTACTCTCTAGTAGCCCTTTGACGAAATCTATGGAGATCTCCTTCTAGATCTGGGTGGGTATCAGCAGTGGTTTTAGAAGGCCTTGCGTGCCCTCTCTCTAGGACTTGCTCCGTCCACAAGCGTCGCAGTTTCTAATATATCTCTAGATTGAGTTGGTTATGCCTAGCTAGAAGTAGTCCCTTGCGAGTATCTTGTACGTTAGCTCGCGTCCTAGGTAGCTAGTGACTAATGAGTCGTGTGCGCCGCTGATGATTGCCGTTCGCAATTTGTTGTTGTCTAGCACCCACTTGCGCCCTCGGTAAAACAGGACTCTGCCGTCCGCTAAGTAGTCTTTAATTAAGCACTTTAGGCCTAAGTTTGCAGGGAAACGTTGTTCTTGGTCCTCTACAGCCTTCTTCGCTCCCTAGTAGACCTAATCCTTCGCTGTCGCTTCTTGCTAGAGCTTCTCTAACTCATTCTGCTCTAACGCTTCTTCGTCTAGTTCTCTAGGAGGTAGTTGGCCTAGTCCTTCTTCAGCTAGGGCAACAGCCTTTTCTTCCCGCTGTTGGCTTCGTGTTTTCGTGGCTATTACTAAAATAGCTTCTTCTAGTTCCTCTTCTAGTTCTTCTTCTACTATCTCCTAATAGGAGTTTGTTAGCTTAAATATTTGTACGAAACGCTTCTGCAAGCGCTCGTCTTCTGCCCCTGCAGGTAGGTCTTGTTCTCTTCTTAAGAGCGCGTCAGCTCTTACATTCTGCTTGCCTAGCCAATACAGCAGCTCTAGGTTGTACCTACTAAGTAGAAGCGACCATCTCACCTAGCGCTTGTTTAGCATGCGAGGTTTTATGAAGTACTCTAAGTTTTTGTGATTCATAATCACCTTAAACTTCTTAACTAAACGTAGCTTAGAATCCTATTCCTTAAGGCATCGTACTACCGCGAGCAACTCCTTGTTGTGGATCTTGTAGTTGCACTTATGCGCGCTATTCTTCCGCAAGAAGAACGCGCAAGGCCGTAAGACTCTATCATCGTCGTACTGTGATAGCACCCCGCCCACCGCGTAGCCGCTCGAATCGCACTCGAGCACTGTCTCCCGATCTAGGTCGAACGCCGCCAGCGTGGGCTCTGTAACGAAGATCTCCTTTAGCTTCTCAAAGGCTGACTGCTCTTTAGATCCCTATTAGAAGGGGACGTCACCTGTAAGCCTAGTGAGGGGTGCGGCTAGCTGCGCGAAGTTCTTAATAAACCTTCGGTAGAAGTTCGCGAACCCTAGGAACGATCTTACTCCCTTTACTATCTTTAGTGCCTCCCACTCGCGGATTGCGGCTACCTTAGCTAGATCTATGCTTATCCCTTTACCTACTTCGATAATAAACCTAAGGTACTTAGTTGTCTTGACTTTAAACTCGCACTTCTTGATGTCTACCTGTAGCCCTGCGGCTTGCAGCTTGCTAAGCACTTTTCGGACGTGCTCTTGGTGCTGGCGCAGATCGCCATTGGTGTAGATTAGTACGTCGTCTAGGTATGCTAAGCAGAAGTCATCTAGGTGTTCTCTTAAGGTCCAGTTAATGTATTGTTGAAAAGTACTTAGGGAGTTCGCCATGCTAAAGGGGGTAACTAGCCACTTAAATAGTCCAAATCTTGTTTGGAAGGCTGTCTTCCACTTATCGCCTAGTGCGACATAGATCTTGTAGAAGGCTGCGATAACGTCTAACTTTGTAAACCATTTAGCCTTGCTTAAGCTGTTAAGTGTCTCTTAGATAAGGGGTAGCGGGTACTAGTCCTTCTTAGTAATTGCGTTTAGAGCTCGATAATCGATGCACAGTCGGAGCCCTCCTCCAGGTTTCTTGGCGAACAATACTACAGTGCCCGTGCACCAGATGAGCACCATCGCCAGTTGAGCACCCCCAACAACTCAATATAGTCAACAAGATGAGGCTGTAGAGCCACCACAAATCGTAATAAAATTGCGCAAAGCTAGGATTATACTATATACAGGCCTACGAAAGTTTTGGCTTATTTAGAAATTTTTTTAGAGGGCGTTATCGGTCGTTGCCGTCGACTACGCGGTGGAGCAGCTCGTGCAACCCTTGCGGCTCCCACCACAGCTAGAGCAACACCACCACACTTTTGACGCTTTGTAGCTGGCTTATGAGGTTTTGACGCTTTGCGCTTACCCGATTGGGGCAATTGTATAGCTTTGGCAGCGTCGCGGAGGCTTCTACGATGCTCTCTTTTGGCTTTCTCTGCAGCCTTCCGCTTTCTGGTCTCCTCCCAACCCTTCTCCCGCTCAACACGGGCTGCTTTTTGAAGTTGAAGCTGGCAATCGCGAGCTGCCTTCTTGATCTCGGCTTGCTCGGCTTTTTGAAGCTTTTCAAGCTCGGCTTGTTGTTGTTGTTGTATCTTGTTATCCTGAACTCGTTTGACGCTTGTTGGTGACCACCAAACAGCTCCACCATGATACTCAGGATGATCCTCAAGCTGTAGGGTATAGGATTTGGTTTCCCGCCTCTTCTTGATGGCTAGGGACTGCCTGAGGCCTTTGAGTTCGCCGTGGAGGAGTGTATTTTGAGCTGCAAGGTGGTGTAAACTTCGTTGAAGCTTCCTGACGTCCTTGCTGTTACGATCCCTCACCTCACGACGTACAATTGTCTTCAGCTTGAGCCA